GAGTATGGGTGCGAGTGGGTGTAGTATCCGGCATAATAACTCGGCTCACTGTTCCAAGAGGGGTAGTGCGGGGAGGGATACACGTGATTGAAATTCATATCCCTGCACAACAGAACAAAACAACCCAACGTAGCCACGAAAAAAAAAAGAGGAAGAAAAAGACACGAAATAGAAAAACAAAAATGCAGAGAAAGAACAAAAACACTAAAAATGCAAAAAATAAAGAGAAACACAGAAAATAAAATCAATTCCAAAACCAAACATCCTACTTGCCTTCCCCGGCAATGGCGCCAAATTTTTTGTGTACAAATTAATCTTTTTACCGAGTACCGAATCGAAAGATTCGTTTTCCGGGTCGATCTCACGAGGAAGGCGGTTCGGAACTTAGCTTTGGCATTGATAACACATAAAAAGAAAATAAATCCTAAACACTCTAATCAGATAAGGGGGATGAATAATTATCAACTAAGAAATAAATAACAATGCAAAAATTTAAATCTACCTAAGAGTATGGATGACACGAAGATGGAGAAGCTAGAGAATCGGGGATAATTAATTCAAGTTTTAGCAAAGTCGGGCATTCAATTGTTCAGTTCAAGATTGACACTCTTGCTTATACATCTAGAGGTTCGCTCCCAATAACTTTTCGTAACAAGGGATTGAACATAAACGTACAAGCTCGAGCATACAATACGGGCCAACTATCCCAATCCCAATAACTTTTCGTAACAAGGGACGGGTCATCGACTCGCAAGTATTTCAACCGAAAACCTATAGACTATTCAATTACGAAATCATCTACCTCATGTGAGTATATTTCTACGACTTCTCCCCTTTCGGTTCTGAAAGTCGCTAATTTAACTAGAAGAGTATTAATCGACTAAACACATAGAATCAACAAAACCCTAACTCGACTAATCAATATTCAATTATTTCTAATTGCAAGATCGAAGTGTCACTCTTCGATTATATCAACAAATCAAGCATGAATTTATTAATTCCTAATCAATTCAACCCACACAAGCATGAACAAATCAAAGCCCGACAAATGCATGTTAAACAAGAACAATCATCCCCTATCCCTAGCAATCAGATTCAGCTACGTAAAATCGATTCAACGCAATCAATCATTCTCTCCAAATCAACCATTTTCAGGAATTGAATAAAAAGAGAAACTTACAATTAATCCCAAGTTCAAGTGTTGAATTCCAAATACAAGCTTAATCCCTAATTATTAACAAGAAGAAAAAAAAAATGGAAAAGAAGGGTGAAGAGAAGAGGAGAAGAGAGGAAGAGAAGAAGAAGGAGGAAGAACAATGGAGGGAGGAGTCAATTTTTGGAGTTAGGGTTCCTCCCCCATCGAGCACCCCCCTCTTCTCTCGTCTACTATAAAAAAGATGAAGAAAAACTAAGTTTGGGGGTCTTGGGTTCGATCTATTAAGCTTCCCCTTCGAAAATCCGCAGAAATCGCGTCTGTTACAAAACAGACCTTAACGCCGCTAAGGGGTTAGCGGCGCTAAGCCTTCTTAGCTGGTTTCCTCTGTCCCGCTTAGCTGCCAAAACACCGCTAACCACACAGGCCTTAGCGGCGCTAAGGTCCCCGGCAGCTTTGCATGACTTCACGGTTTGGGCTTGTTCGGGCTCGTTTGGGATCGGAATTCAATTCCGCTTTTTCCTATGCGTCGCTAATGAGCCCCTCTTTCTAATGGTGTCAGCTTCCCCAAAAGATTCTCGATAACCTGTTCTCCCGAGGTCTCCAAACTACACACCAAAAACGAAAAGAGAACAGAAAAAGACCGGAAAACAAACGGAAAACACCGCAACACTCAAATGAACGCGAAACACATAATAAATGACAAAAAGATCCTAAAACCACCTAAACGACTCAATACGAGGGAAAAAGAACGGCAAAAAGACAACGAAAAACACAACAAAAATGGGACAAACATGGAGAGTTGTCGCCTCAATCCTAGCTAATGCCGGATGGCAAGCCACACTTGGGCCGAAAGGGGGCAAGTGAAAAAGAGATGATCCTTTGTCTCGGAAGCTTCCCCACAAAAGGCACAAGTAAGGTCAATATCAAGGAAGCCAATTCTATCTTTGGTTCGGAGCCTCCCGAGCGTAGCAAACCAAAGAATGAAGGTGTGTTTGGGGGTATTGGCGGGCCCCCAAACCACACCCTTCCAAGGGACGGGCGTGCCTTGGGGTCGGAAGAACTCGTAGACGCATGAAGGCCCCTTGGAGCGAGACTTGGAGTCCCAAAGGCTAAGAGTGGCCTCGACGGCTTGTATGCTACCCAACTTTTCAACTATTATGTTCCGAATGTCATAGAGGTTCTTGAAAAAAGAGGAATCGTTCTTGTGCATGGTCCATTGCCACACGGATTTTTACTTTAGGTAAACATGATGAACCCAACGGTACCACAAAGTGTCTTTCTTGGCTTGAATATTCCATAGTGTTCGTGCTAGCAAGGTTTGGTTCCACGCTTTGAGGTCCCGAAGGCCTAGGCCTCTCTCCGAACGTGGGAGGGTGACGGTGAACCAAGCCACCGGCGCCATCTTTGAGCCCCAAAGGAAGCGACGACATCGTTGGATGATAAGTGAACGGACAGTCGACGGAAGAGGGAAGAAGACAACCAAAAGCATTCCACCCCTTGGAGGACCGATCTAATGAGTTCGACTCTTCCCGCATATGAGAGAGAGGGAGCGTTGCATCCACTGATGTATTCCGATATTTGATTTATGAGAGGATCAAATTGCCCAACGGTGACTCTTCCCGCCGTGAGTGGGATACCGAGGTACCATAAAGGCTTAGACCCCGGCCGGAGATTAGTGTCCCGAAGAATCTCCGAATGCTCCATTTGGCCAACTCCCGCCATGTAGATGTTGGACTTTAGGACATTCATTTCCAAGCCCGATTTGGCTCCGAAGTCCCTCAAGCAATCCATTAAGATTTTAATAGAACATGGGTCTCCCCTCGAAAGGAGCATTAAATCATCCGCAAAGGCAAGGTGAGAGATTTTAAGAAACTTACATTTCGGGTGATAGTTGAAACCCGACCCGCTAGCCGTGCTCCGGTTCATGAGTCTCGAGAGATACTCCAAACATATAACAAAGAGGTAAGGCGAGAGCGGATCTCCTTGTCTCAACCTTTTGGCACCTTTGAAGTGGCCACAAAGCGAACCATTTATAGAGATTGAGTATGAAATTGTGGTGACACACTTCATGATCCAATTAATAAAGGTTGCCAGAAATTCAAGTCCAAGAAGAACTTGCCTCAAGAAAGCCCAAGAGATAGAATCTAAAGTCTTACGAAGGTCTATCTTGATAGTGCACCTCGGGGAGATCCTCTTTCGCATGTATTGCCGGAGTAATTCTTGCATGAGGTGAATATTATCGGACATGTTCCTACCCCTCACAAATGCGGCTTGAGGTCCATCAATGATTGAGTCGAGAACGGAGCTAATGCGCTGAGCAATAATTTTCGAGCAAATTTTGTAAGTAGTGTTGCAACACGCGATCGGTCGAAAATCCAATACTTGGGACGCGTGGGGGCCCTTGCGAACCATAACTAAGGTAGTATGGTTCCATTGCTTGAGTAGGCGCCCATTTCTAAAGAACTCTTGCACGGCCAAGGTGAGATCCTTCCCAACTATGTCCCAACTTTTCCGAAAAAATGATGAAGTGTACCCGTCCGGGCCGGGGGCTTTGCCGCTTTCGATGCCTTCAAGTGCGGCTTTGATTTCGTTTTCGGAAACCGGAGCAAGGAGGGCATGATGGTGCTCATGAGAGAGAAGTGGGCCATGCCGGATGATCTCGGGATCAATATCATCGGTCGGAGTCTCGATACCAAGGAGTCCTTCGAAGTGGGAGACAAACTCCTCGGACACCTCATCGAGAAAAGTGGTCGAATATCCATTTTCTTTCGATATAGAGGCAATGAAATTCTTCTTGGCATTTCTTTTGACAAGGGCGTGGAAGAACCCGGTGCATTTGTCTCCTTTGATTTGGAATCGGCACTTCGCTTTTTGTTGCAAGAAGTGCTTCTCCGCTTTGGCTAGATTAATGGAATTGAGGCGGAGAGCGGGTAAGGAAGCCTTTACCACCAAGTCATCGGGGATGTCGTGGAGTTTTTCTTGTGCTAACTTGAGAGCTAGTGTCGCGTTGTCGGCCCGGAGGGAGATTTGAGAAAAATACTCGATATTGAGCTCGGAGAGCTCGGATTTCAAGGCTTTTAGGCGGCCGGAAAGCTTGAATTGATGCGTTCCCCGGATACGTAGGTTCCAAGCATGTCGGACCCTCGGTTTGAATTCTTTGTGCTCGGCCACATATTAAAGAATCGCCAAGGTGATCCCTTCCTCATAGTGTGCTCAAATAAAGAGACAACACAAGGAGAGTGGTCGGAGATGCCCGAGAGAGCACTGATGTTTTCTTTATATTGTCCTCCCTGGATAGCTTCGTTACGAAAAGACTTAACCAATCGGTTACCCGTTCGTATATTTTCTTGAGTTTTGATATGATTTGTTCGTTTAGAAAAATAAACTGTCGAACAATATCTAAAAGTAACTTGGAAAAAAAACAAAAGAATTTCTCTTGTTTTTGCATCTCCTTTCTGCATAAATGAAAAAAAAAAAGTTTAATCATGAGAAATGAGAATCACTCATGTATCCATATGAATGAAACACACATAAACGCAAGACCACAATGAATAATACATACATACATGAAAGAGCAACCTCTTTCTAACATAGTACTGAGTTCAAACATGAAAGGCAACACAAATCAAACAAAGTGTCCTGAAACTAATCACAGCCACTTCATTAGTCTCCCCCCCTCCCAACAAACTAAAACCAATAAACTAACCCATCCCGGAACCATTTTTCATCCCAAGCAGGAGCAGCCCATATAATATATGCAACACATGCCCATAAACCATTACAAGAAGTAACCCACCCCAGAAACATTTCTCATCCGGCCCGGACTTCCCTCAAACCCATATTCTCAAAACCCCATATCCACCTCATCATCATCGTCCGAAGATCTGTCTTGCATCAACCTTCTCCTCCTCCTCGGAGGCCCAATATCACTCAACACATTCAAATCCACCTCCTCCTCCTCCTCATCCTCATCATCCTCATCCTCATCATCCTCATCCTCCTCATCAGCCCGAATACCCAACAAATTCTCCCCCCACAGATACCTCCGCCTTTCAGAACCGGCAGCACGACCACCAGCACGCCGGTTCCTCGACCTCCCCCCTCTCCCCTCCCCACCATCCAACGACCCAATCATCTGGAACAAAACGAGAGTGCTCAGCCACCGGGCCCCACCCTCCCCTGCCCTGCCTCTCCCGTGCTCCCCACCGCCCTCGATCATGTAATCCCCAACCACAACTGCACCGGGGACTGCCGAACTAATAGCACTCACAATGTCATTGTACTCTCTCTGGTCCTCCAAACGACGCCATGCTCTCTGCCTCGACGGGTCCACATCTGCCGGGCGGGCAGCTGGGTGGACCCGCCTAGCGTGCCCACGAAGCTCACGGTAGTTGCCCGAGAATGAGCACGACTCGCGTGAGCAGGCCCGGGGTTTCAGGTTCAGGTACTTGCGGGCCTCCTCCACCACCTTCCACTCCAAGACGGAACCCCGGCAGAGAGGGCACTGGAGACCCACCTTTTCATCCGTGCTCGTCTGCCCAGCCGTCGGCTTCTTGAAACGGTCGAGGCAGTTGGAGTGTCGATAGCTGGTGTCACAAATGTACGAGCGGCATCCCTTATCGTGGGAGGTACAGATGAGAAGGACCGCGTTGTGGGGATGATCCATACATATCGGGCAAGAGGCCTCGTCCCATTCTTTGTGCACACTGGATTTGGATTTATCATCTGCATTGTCATTTGATGCGATGCTTCTTTTTCTACTATCCATCGTATGAGCTAGGCTGTGATTTGTTACTAATAATGTTGAGTGCATGTTAGCAATAATAGGGGTGTGTAACAGTATAATTCCACAGCAAAGCAAGTGAATGAAAAAATAAATTTGACATTTTTGAAATAATGCGAAATGATGGGAAAACAATTGCTATGTGGGTCAACTTGAGAGAAGTAAAGGGGAACAAGATCATTTAGAGTTATTATTTAATATTGGTGAATTTATCTTTGATCAAGTTCACTCCTTGTTACCAGAATATGCAACAGTGTGGTTGTACAAAAATCTCATGGCCTCGGGCCCGACCAAACCAGTATTAGAGCTCATGATTGGTGAAGCAGGAATCCAAAATATCGAAATATGAAGACTATGTATAATGAGCATCAAACTTCTTTCTTTCATCCATTGCCTCAAATTACTTATGTCAAAGAAAAAAGTGCATCGGTGCCAAATCATTCGGAAATCAATTACTACTAACACAGAAAATATCACGAACACCAAAAGGATGGCTTTATATCACCACATATGACAGATATATAGTGTAAAACCAAACCAACATATTCAATTTTCAGACCATGGTTGCCACCAAAACAAACAGCAGGATCAAAGTTAAATATGTTTCGCAACTTACCTTAAATTTCTGGAGCAGACCGTGTCGTCATTCAACATGATATTTAATTATAAGCAAACCAAATTCGTATAAAAGAATTACCTTAAAATTAACTTCCCAACATGTGTACGAGATAATTGTTACATCCCTAAACAAAACTTTTCAGTAATTAGTAGTTCCTAATGACATAATCGCAATTACAAAGCGGTTTGGCTTTCATAAGCAGTTGGTTATGAAAAATATGCTTTGAAACCCAAACCTAGCCCAATAATGGAAAAATCTTTTTCTTTTAACCAACTCGAATTCGATACCATATATCCGAAGTTCAATTTGATAAGGTTCAAATTTGAATCGCATTGTTTTAGAGTTGAATATAGAGCTGGGATTTACAATCATCATTTGATTAATCCAACAAATTGAAGAGTTTGATTTTTTGATCCCGTGAAAACCGTATCGGGAGATGACAAGAATACTCACAACTGGTTATACATTCCACACACCATCCTCAGGCAGCTGTATTCAATACATATCACAAGATACATAAACTCAAGATTGTGACAACAAAACTTTGAAGAAAAATCTCAATTACAGGTCACACACAATCAAGTATCATCAAGGCAGTCACAACACGGCACTGTACACATCGAGTCAGGTCATTCACGGACAATCAAAATGTTTATGCTTAAGGCAGTAACAACATGTTCAGTTACAGCCATAATAGCCATTTAGTTTTTACTCACCAATCAAAGGTACCGAGAAATTCTCTTTAAGTGGCAGCTTCTGAACCTTATATCCCCAGTCTGAATCCTATGAACGTTCTGATTTAGCAAATGGTTTAATACAGTATCTTTACTCGACTTTATATCATATCAGATGGCAACCCGTCACCAGCAATTCAAAACTACTATTCAGAAAATGCACGATCTTAAATTCTTGGGGAGTTATAAGCAATTATAGACTATGTTCTTGAGCCAACAATCACCAATTTGAGTCCCACAACCTGCAGTTGTATTGTGGAACAGGAATTGTTATTCGCATCGCACATTATCTGGCTTTTAATCAAACATAATATATGCAAGATCATACATATTGTAACTGCAAAACACAGAAAGACCACCATAACTCTTTAAAAAGAGCTTAGTCTCAAATTATTCAGCATCACAAAAAAAAATTATAATTAAAACATAAATCCCTCTGAAAACCCAAGAACTCACAAGAACAAAACCCCCTTTCAGAAATTCTTGCCTTTAATGCCAAAAAAAAAAAAAAAAAAAAAAAAAAAAAAAAAAACTTTAAAAAATAACAAAGATCCTTCCTTGATTGAATCAAGAAGCAGATATTCCACAACATGTCCACATGTATAAAAATTACAGGTACGAGGATAAGCAACAAATCGCAACAAACATCATAGAATTGATGAAAATAAGGTCAGCATGAAACAAATCGAGAAATTGAAAATTGCGAGATTACAGTTCGAGAAAATTAGGGATGATCTTGCTGTGGTAGATTGATTGTTGGAGGAGTTTTAAGTTTAATTCAGATTTCAGGCGAAGATTAACTGATCGGTGGAATTTACAAGATAGCGTTGGATGAAAAGTGGGTTGAAATTGTGAACAAGTTTTTGGCTGCCCATTGAAAAAATGAGGAGAGAGATATACCACAGGCAAATTCTTTTGGGCTACGCAATAATGAATATTATTATGTTTAACAACTTCTTAAAAATAATTATTTTTCATGAAAAATACATTCTAAAAAACTTATAATCATGTTATTTTATCACTTAAAATTCATAATTATGGATGCCTGAATTATTATAAATATTATGTAGAAAAGAATAAAATAAAAGTTAAAAAAGAATATATCTTTATTAAAGGTAAAATAGATATATTTAAAATGAAATCCAAGTGTTACACTTGTCCGACTATTATAATTTTATAAGGTTTTAAGTATATACTAACAATAATAATTATACACACAGATCTAAATAAAATATTATAAGTAATATGTGTGAATATTGTTTTAAAATCATAAAATAGATAATGAAAATATCACGTTTATAAATTTGAGCATTAGTAAAAATATATAATACAATTTATAAAATATGTTACATGTATACAAATCATATATAGAGATTGCACAAAATTTAGTTAATGATGTAAATTTTATAAATTGAAGGTTTTATAACCAATTAATTAATCACAAATGATATTAAAATTATTATCTAATTTTGGTAATTTCAAATTGGGCAAAATTATATTCCAAAATGATAAATTCATATTGACTTTTTTTTTTTAACAATTTGCCATTAATGGGTTGCAAATATGATGTAAATTATCAATTTTCAAAAGAAAAAATCTCCCTATATATAATTATCAAACGTGTTGAACCTAAGTGACAGACTCTCACGTTTTGGGATCCTATGTTGCAAATTTTTAAGTTTTTTTGCTTGGATTGAATGAACTTTAATCTATTTTCTATCCAAAAGTAACTAGGCTTAGAATATCCAAAAATATACTAGATATTAATGGTCCATTTTAAGAGAATTAATTATGTTTTAATAATATTTCTTATTGTAGACGTGATTTATAAAGTATAACTTTTTTTCTAATTT